TTCTAAATAACAATGACACTAACTTGTAAGGATCATGCCCCCAAATGTATCTCATGGATTTTTAAAGTTTAGAAAAGAACTTGTTCCCTTTAAATTGTAAACTAGAAATAAAAAATGGAAATTACAAAACTGCAATTATTATAGTTTTACCAAATTTAATTTTAATATGACATTAAATGCTGTCATTATATATTGCCACTGTGCATAAATTTTTGTTTATATAAAATCATTTTGTATGAGATTAATTAGTTAGTTCACGTTCATTGTATATATAGTAGGAATTAGAAAAAATGTTCCCTTACAAAAACTAGGAGGATTAGTTTATTGTGACATTTTGGCAGCCACACGGCCGTGATACATGTGAATGCATGAGATATCTCCATAATCCCTTTTACCCATGGTTGTTTTTCTATGGATTTCCAAAATAGATTAAAACCCAACTAAAGCTCCTCACACGTGTTTTAATGTGTACTATTCATCTTTAGAAGCCATGAGTTTTGAAGGATGATTTTAAATAAAATGATAATCCAACCACTAGGTGAAAAGCAACCTAGTGACGTACATGTACTTGTTATAAAAAAGTATTATGTCTCTTTAATTTATAAGACATTTTTAGATAACATCGCACATATCAAACAAGTTCTTTAAATACAGTTTACAATCTCATTTTTTAAGACAAAAATATAAATTGTTAAAAATATCATTCATTTAATACTCCATTTTGTATAAAAATATTAAAGAGAGAGAATATATAGGAAGGGTAGTATTGAAAAAGCACCAGTAATAAAATATTACATTGGTCAAAGTGTATTATATTTTATGACCCCAAATCTGCTTCAAAAATATCTTATAATTAAATTGGGACGGAGGAGTATTTGAATTAAGTAATTTTTTCAGTGAGTTACGTTTACCCTTCTCTCTTTGTCCTTTCGTTTATTCCCCCTTCTCATTGTTGACCTCTTTGCTTAGTCTTCTTCTGCTGTGAGGGGTAGGAGTCAATATCATGGAAAGATTTTAAATTAATTATTTTCTGTTCTACGACTTTTATTATTTTCGGTGCCTTTTTATTTTGATACATTTTAGTTTAGTATTTATAAATGGTAGAATATTGTAACTGATGATAATAATTAATTATATGCAAGCAAATTAATTAATGTCAATGATTTTTATCCTAACTTTTGTTACTCAATTTATTCTAACTTCAATTTTGCAATTTCTAATCCAAAAAACACCTAAAGTCAATCTTATCAAATATTATTTTGATTGCAAACTTGAGGGATTAAGTCACGATAAGTTAAACTTGAGGGACTGAGTTATAACTAAGTTAAAAGTTGAAGGACCAAATTAATGACTAATTGTCCTCATAAAATATTAGATAATGGAAATTTAAAAATTATGATCTTATATACTAAAAATTATAATGTCATATAAGTTTTGTCTTGAATGAGCTTCATCTTATGATCTATCCACTCCCTCCTTTGCGTGAAACACCTAGTTATCTCTCTTATGGTTACACAATACACATAAAATATCATATTTTAGGTCATAAATTAACATATGTTAGGTCATTGTAGAATATCAGGCAGTTGGACTGGGACCGAGACATAAGCCCAAGGAGGATTATTTATCTAAAAATTATTATTATTTGTCCTAGAATCATTCCTTTAATTAAAAAGGATGATAATATTGGAATCTTTTTATTTTTAACAAAATAACAACATAACAGTATTTTGTTAAAATATATGAAAATGATGGAAATATCTTTAAAATGTCTAGGAGTATTTTTTTTTATTGCATTAAGGGATATCACTATAAATTTAGTGATTTGAGTGATTTTTTTAACATTATTTCAACTAGTGATGATGTCACAAGGCATTGTTTGCTTTTAAATTTTTAACTTATGTTAAGTTTTTTGGCTATATCAAAAAGCTTAGAAAATATCATAGTATAAATTTAGTTCAACACCATAATTTATTTTAAATCCCCACTGCACCATTTTTTTTTGTACACAATATTAAAAAAATCATAGTGTAAATGTAGTTTGAAAAAATTAATACAACTAGATTACAAATCTATAGAATATTCTACTTTCAGTATTTAAATGCTATAAAATAGGTGTGACTTAGCAAGATTTAAAATTATTATAATTTTAACTTGGACTCCTTAAAATGAGTCTAAGCCTATGCCAAACAATTTAATCCTTCAACTTGCTTAATAAATTTATGATTCTGTTTCATTTTATCCGAGATACAAATTTAAATAGGAGAATTTGTTGAAAGTTATGTTTTACATAAATATTATATAGACCCTCATGAGAATTTCACATTGGAGAGATAACATCCGAAACATGTTTATATTGAAGTCTGTTAGTGTCAACATCTTGAGAAATTCCATTAAACTAACATTGAATATGTGATTTCACCAACAAAAGTTTAATATGTGGATTTTAATGGCGATTTTTGTTGACAATGAAGGATTTCTGTATATCAAAAGCCAATAATCAAAATTTAAATTTACGAATGACATATACATTTTGACTACAAAATAAGTTTCTAATTGCCATTGTGCTAGTAAAATTCGGTCACTCTTTTCGTAATTTGATTTTTCAGTTTAATATATGACCTGTAACTTTCATTTGCCAACAATTGTTATGTTACAATTTTATTTGAAAGTTGGGGTCCAAGAGCATTCGTTTTAACATTTTCTTTTTTTATTTTTTAATTCTCTTTTATATAAAGTTATTTTAGTTGAAATATTAAATTCATTATTAGAAAGGCCAATATTTGGGGCAAATTTATTAATAAGAGAGCCAAAAGGGTCTCAATTTAGCTTTATAATTTCTGTACAGTATCCTAATTCTAAAATTAAAGAAGAATAAGTCATTAATAAGTTATGTTGGAATATTAGGATATTGAGTGACTAGAGTTAATGACTTAGTTTTTGATGACCTAAAATACTTAAATCTGGACCAGATTATGGTGCTCATCATGTGCTCCCATGAAAATTAGATGAGGGGTGGGAGGATGGGAACAGTGGAGGGAGGCAGTGGGAGCAGAGTTGTCACGTTTTCCAAAGCTAAAAAATATGGCTTTCCAAAATAATTTATGTTCACCAAAAATTATTTTGATTATAAAATATTTTACCGTACAGATATATGCAGATCAATTCAACAACTGAAAAATACTATAATAAAATTTTTGTTTGAATGAATTACATAGGATGCAGAAGAAAAACGTTTTATGCCTTCCTTCAACAGACAAAAAACAAGGGCCAAGTTTTAAAACACGTTAACTTTCCTTCAAGATTTACGTCTTGATCATAATAGTTTACAAGGTAATTTTACTTCAATTTATGATGTTCTAGCTATATTTTATTCTTTTTTAGATTGTTTTCTCATATTCCATTAAAAACAGTGTATTTTCTCTTCCAATTTTCCATTTGTTTAGAAGTTTGAGTGTGTGTAAAATTTTCTTGTCCAACAATTCTTTATGCATAAAAATAAGTATTTAGTTATCTTTAGTTTTAGGGATGCCAGTTAGGAGGTCTTGTGGAGCATTTTGTTCGTTTGGAACAGAGAAAGCTCAACTTGGAGTGTGGGAAAGAGAATTTGCCACCAAATGTTGTTCTATAATCTCATGAATAACATTGCCTGTCTGGTCAAAATAAAATTAATTAATATTTCAGAGTTGAATGTACTTATTGGGTGATAGTGTTAATATCAACATCAACATTAGCATATGAAGTCTCTATCTCACTTGTTCCCTTTAAATGGTAAATAAGGATTAAAAATTGGTATAGAACTTTATTCCTTTAATTTTACCAATTTTGATTTTGATATGGCAATAAATGCTATCATTATATATGAGTGTAGTGCATAAAAACTTTGTTTCTATATAATGATTTTGTATGAGATTAATTCTTTAGTTCACGTTTCATTCTATATACATTTATTGAAGAGGTTCAGCACAAATGCAGAGTGTTACAACCACACTTTTTCTCTTTTCGCAAAGTTTAATGGACATCATCACAATAAATTTTCTGATAACTGATATACTAGTTATTACGTTATGAATTCATGATTTTAGTTATTGTTAATTTTGATGACGTTGGTGGTTTGGATGTCTTCTCTTCTGGAGCATCTAAGTTCACTGTTCTTCAAATTATGATGTTCTAGCTAGAAACTTCCCTTTTTAGATTATTTTCTTAGAATTACAATGAACAAGATGCATTATATGTTTCTTTTTAACACTTAGTTTTATAAAAGATTGTGTATTCGTGAATTTCTTATTTCAGTAATTTTTTATGCATAAAAATAAGTCTTCAGTTATATTCTATTGTAGTGATGTTAGTTAGGGGACGCCTCTTCTTGTTTTGGGATCCAATTTTCTGGATTCTGAAAAAATAGAAATTATTTGTTGGTTTATAGAATCTTTTTCTTTGATACAAACGTCCATATAATTTTAACTTGGACTCCTTAAAATGAGTCCAAACCAATGCCCTACAAGTCAACTCCTCAACTAGTTTACCAAATATATGATTATGATTTGTTATATGGTCAATATAAATTTATATAGGTGAATTTGTTGAAATTTATGCTTTACATAATTATTATATAGACCCTCATTAGAATTTCATATTGGAGATAATATCCAGAAATGTGTTTATGACAAATTTGCAACTACATATTTGTGGCCCAAGAGCATTATAAAGTTTTCTCTTTTTATTTTGCAACTTCAGCCTTTTTTAGTTAAAATATTAAATTTATTATTATCAGCAAATGCCAATATTGGAGGCAAACTCATTAATGAGAGAGTCAAAGGTCGCAAATTGGCTTTTATACTTCCTGTACACTATCTTAATTCTGAAATTGAGGAACCATATGTTATCAATTGTTTTAAAAGTTATCTTATTGGTTTCCTTCCCTCGTTTCCAACTTCAAGAGTTATATTTTGATGGATTACACTGGATTTAATGGATCTTTTATATCCGTAACATTGTAGGAGGTATTCCTGAACAGATTGGTAATCTTAAAAGTCTGAAAATTCTATATTTAGACACCAATCAATTTTCTGGCCACTTACCATCAACTATCTTTAATCTATCTGAACTGCAAGTGATTGATTTAAGTTGGAACAATTTGTCGGGAGCCATTCCCTCAAATATATGTCATGGCCTTCCAAATTTACAAGCTTTGCTTCTTCAAGCCAACAAATTATTTGGAGCTATGCCATATGGTTGGACACAATGCAAGCAGCTCAAAACGTTAGAGTTAGAAGTCAACTTCTTTACAGGTATATGCTACCCACTATGCAAAATCTCTAAATTCAATTTTATCAAATATATTTTGATTGCACTTTTATGCATTGGACATTGGTGTTGATCAAAACCATAAAACAATTGGACTTCCATAATTTTTATTTAAACAAAAATCCTTCTCAACAAATTAAGTTATATTTATAAAAAATAAACCACTTAGGAGCCCATATCAAACATATTTTTGAAAGAAACATAAAGTAAAATAAAAATTGGGTATTTTTTTTATTAAATATAAATTCTGCTTTTTTCTTAGAAAGGCTTTTATCAGGCTTCAAAATCTAGCAGCCTGTATGTATGTATGCATGTATACACAAACATACACACACATAAAATTAAGACCCTATTGGATCAATTTCGACATATCAACGTTGTGCTTCAAATATTGGTATTTATATTCATTAATGTTTCTAAAAGTGCAATCAAACCATAATATGCCTTCAGATCCCAAAACTATAGTTTGGTAGTTGACTATGGTTCTCATAATGTGAGGGAACATGTTAGCAATTTGCTTATTTTCTTCCTTCTTGCACATGGGTCGTCGCTTGGAGTTTGAAAAGTATCTCGCATGTATTAACAATTTGATAAATTATTTCTAATTGCTACTATTATTTTTTCATTCTTTATTTCCATTTTACTCTTTCATACAAATATTTTCTTTATTTTGTGAAAACAATTATTATAAGAATATTTTATTTTTTTTGTCTTTACACAAATTTCTTATATTTTAAGAGAGTGGATTAGGAAAAAAAAAAGTTTCAAGTGAGTCTATATTCTTTCTCTTGGGCCGTTTGTTTAATATTAAAAGATAAATAATTTTTAGATAGTTTAGATATTTATAAAAATAGATTTATCTTCAAAAGATTTTATAAAAATCATTTATTATTTTATGTTTGGTTACAATAATGAAAAATAGTAGTTATTTAGTTATTTATAGATTTTATAACGTCTTTGTGGATCCCTATTTATGACAAATAATTTATCATCTGTTATTTTAAAATTTACAATATCTTCATATATCTCCACATTTTTAGGTCATTTTCTCTAAGCTACCGTGTCATATTATTTTAAGAAGCTATCCAAAGAAATTTTTCAAAATAATTAGAAATATAATTTTTTTGTTTCAGATTGTAATTATTTTTAAAATTTTAAATAAGCATTATAAAATTTCAAAAAATATTTTTGTCAAAAAAAAGTGATTTTTTATGAAAAAGAGCTTAAGAGCCCATTTCTTTAGCTTATTTTATGAAAAATCATTTATTATCTGAAAAAAATTCTATTTTATGATTTTTTTGTGATATTTGTTTAAAATTTTGAAAATTATTAGAATAAAAAAGCATATTTATTATTATTTTAAAAATATACTTTAATATCTTCTAAAATAATATGATATTGTAGATGATAGAGAATGCTTTAAAAATGCTAGATATACGAAGATATCCTAAAATTTTAAAAAAATTAAATAATAAAATATTTTTTAAAACAAAAGTCAAGAAAAAATCATAAAATTTAAAAATAACTGACTAATAATTACTTTTTATTATTGTAACCAAACATAAAATAATTTTTTTATACAATCTCTATAAAATAAATTTCTTATAAAATCTCTAAACTAACTAAAAATCACTTATTTTGAATCTTAAACATATGGGCCCTAAATAAATTGGGCTTTAATGTCATTTTGTTTGGAGAACAACTCCATATCTTGAAAATAAATTAAATTAAATGAAGTAATAACTAAGTGATAGGACTCTCGTAACTTAAATAAGTAGTTAGAGGTTTGAATCCCAACTCTGGTGTATGTAGCAACATACTTACCAGAGGTCTACCATTTATCCTTATTATCTTGGGAGAGATAAATTTGCCATCAGCAGGGCCTTCTCTTTGTGTTATAAAATTAAAAAGAAATAAAGAGAGGGAGAGTGGAGGAGAGAGACTTATCTTTTTTTTTTATATTTATGTAAATGAAATTAATTTTCTAACTAACAAACTAATTATATTATATTCATAAAAAAATAAAAACAAATAAATAGCCTTAAGAAACTTGTTTTAAGAAAAATAACAAATTAAATAAGCAAATGCTTAATACCCCACGAGTTACTACCTACTTTAAATGATTTTTATATGCATCATTTTACATAAATATATTGAATTTTTCATTTTTATTTTCATTTTCCATTTGTGTTCTTTTACTATATTGTTGGAGATATTCCTAAAAACATCTGCGGAGATCATGGAAATTTTAAAATTAGGATCTTCGATACTAAAAATTATGTTGCCATATAGTATGTTGTTTCATGCTACGATCTCTCCCAATCTCACCGCTGCATTAACACTTGATTAGTTTAGCTGACAACTAGGTCTTTTTCTCACACAATGTACATCATCATCATCATCGAGCATCACTTTTGATACCATATGTCATGCCATAAGAGAATATTGGGACGTTGGACTTGCGCTGAGACATAAGCCCAATGAGAATTATTTTTCTGATAATAATTATTTTTTTTCTTCTAGAATCATTCCATTAGTTAAAAATGATAAAACTGGAGTCTTTGGATTTCTAACAAGGTGAACAACGTAATAACATTTTTAAAGTGTGGCAAAATATTGGAAATATTTTATATGAGAATATGAGGAAGTATGTTATTATCGTTGCGCTAAAGGCTATCACTATAGATTTATATTTGCGAGTAAAAAGATTTTTCAAATAATGTCTTCTGCAATGGATTAATTCTTTAACTGTTGTTGATAACTAGTGGTAGTTAGAACATGTTATAGTAGCTCTTTGCTCAAGAAAGCCAGCTTTACCCCGGGGGGGGGGATCTCAGAAAGAGCAATCGTGCGGTAATGATGTTGAAGCATTATCAATCAACGTTGGAGTGTGCTTCAATGGAATTAGACAATTTGAGTTTTAACTAATGTGTCCCTTATGTGTCAATCTTCTTTCAGGCCGTATACCCAAAAGCATCACAAACTTGACTATGCTTCAACAGTTAACTATGCATTCCAATAACTTGAAAGGTATTCATCCAACAAATCATAGCATTATGTTGTTTTGTTTATTTATCTGTTGCTAAATTACAAGAAATGTTGCAAATAAAATTGGTGATCTTACAAACCTAAACTTTGAAGATATGTTTTAATAGTTTAATAAATTAGATATAATTAATTTTTTTAGTTTAAATTTGTTTGTTAACACTAAAAATATATTCATAAGAGATTGTGATAGTTGAAATTGAAAATTAAAAATTATTAAATATAATAAGTTTTCTCAATTTTACCCATTAAATGGTATGCAATGGATGCACCTTTAAGACATCAAAAACTAGAGAGTATGATTGTATTTTTATATTTAGATTCAAATGTTCAACTTTTTCAATGATATGAATAAATAAAAATTCTTTATCTTTTTTAACAGAATTATTATTAATAACTTGAATTATATTTATAAAATTAATTTAAAGGATCTATGAAAAAAAAAATGCCCATCTTGTTATAATATATGAACAGAAAGGAAGAATCAAGATGTAAAGCATGATTAACCTGGCATAAAAAGGAGTATCAACAATCATACATCTCATTAGTTATATATTTGTCTTATTCACTATTTTTAGTATTCACTTTAGATAACTTCAGTAAGACTAATCTTTTTTTTAATACAGGTTTAATACCTATGGAAATAGGCAATCTTCATAAGCTTGAGGCATTAGACTTGTCACATAACAAGTTGAACGGTTCTATTCCATTGAACATTTTTAACATTTCAACTTTGAAATTCTTAGATCTTGAAAGCAACTTATAACTGGCAATCTTCCATCAAATTTTGGAAATCTCACTAGTTTCTTTGAACTATCCTTGGGAGAAAACATTTTGACAGGATCAATTCCAAAAGCAATTGGTGGCTTATTAGATCTTCAATATTTGAATCTTAAAGGCAATGAGCTACATGGCCTAATCATTGATGAGATTTGTGAAATCACAAAGCTTGCCTACTTATCTTTAAGTAGAAACAAGTTTTCTGGAGGAATGCCCCCTTGTTTAGCAAACAATACCTCTTTACGAGACCTTTACTTGGACTCTAATAAATTAATTTCAGAAATACCCCCTTCCTTTTGGAATTTGAAGGATATATTGAGGGTAAACTTACCTTTCAATATTTTAGTTGGAAATGTATCATTAAGGATTGGAAACTTAAATGCTCTTGTATTATTGGATTTGTCAAGAAATCATATTTCAGGCTTTATTCCAACAACTTTGGGTGGCTGAATAATTGCAAGATCTATCCCTAGCACATAACAATTTGCAAGGAAATATTCCTGAATCATTCGGAAATATGTTGAGCTTAGTAAAATTGGACCTTTCTGAGAATAATTTGTCTGGGAAGATTCCTAAATCTCTAGAGTTACTTATGTTCTTAAGTATGTCAATCTCTCTTATAACAAACTCCAAGGAGAGATTCCAAGTGGAGGAGTTTTTAAAAATTTGACTCTCAATCTTTTATGATGAATCAAGCTCTTTGTGGCAAGCCACAACTCGAAGTGCCTCCTTGCAAAAGAGAAACAAAAAAAAGATCAATGACAATATTGCTTTTTTTGAAATGCATATTACCCATAGTTGTGTCAATAATTTTGATTGTCTCAGGCATTATCCTTTTAAGGCATAAACGACAACAAAATTCAAGGGGTCTAGTCAAAATTGATTTATCAATTTTAGGACTGCCCAAAAGGATTTCTTATTTTGAAATCCAAGAAGCAACCAATGGATTTGATGAGAGTAACATACTTGGAAGGGGTAGTTATGGTTCTGTGTTCAAAGGAAAACTTTCCAGTGAAATGATCATTGCAGTTAAGATCTTCAAATTTGATTCACATGTAATGTTAAGGAGCTTTGAAAAAGAATGTGACATATTGCGTAATGCTCGCCATCGCAATTTGGTGAAGGTTATAAGCTGTTTTCCAATGTTGATTTCAAATCTCTAGTGATGGAATTCATGCCCAATGGGAGCCTTGAAAAATGGTTATATTCTCACAACTATTTTTTAGGTTTTCTTCAAAGGTTGAACATAATGATAAATGTAGCAACTGCTTTGGAATATCTTCATCATGACTTATAACACCAATTGTTCATTGTGATTTGAAGCCGAGCAACATTTTATTGGATAATGAAATGGTTGCTCATGTTAGTGACTTTGGAATTTCCAAACTTTTAGACAAAGAGGAATCTAAGACAAACACAGAGACAGTACCTACTATTGGCTATGTGGCACCTGGTAATTATTTAGTGTCTCAATTTTTTCTTCTTCTTTTGCATTCTAACAACTTATATCTTTAACATATTATAATCATAAAAGCTTATTACATATATTGTTACTAATTATTTAGATTAGCAATATTATATTAAATTAGTGCATGGAAATTAATTAATATTTATGATAAATAATACATGACTTCTTAATAAACATATTAATGTTATTGATTTGATTCAATTATTAAATATGTAATTTAATTGATAAATTACAATTTATCAAAGTTATCTATGCCTAAAACTTGGTCCCTTAATTCTTCTATATAGAGAAATGTTCAGGATATTTCCTTCTAATTTGTTCATGAGATAGGCTCTTCTATTCAAATAGAAATTGAAAGAGCTATTTTATGAATTTAGCAATCATTGAATGTGGTTTCATTTGATCATTGTATATGTATATAAAATTTTTTAACTAATTAATATTAGAACCTTAAGATGAATGTGTATTTTGAAATGTGTGTGCATGCATCTATTCTTGGATATAGGGGCTAGGGGTGGTGTGTCTTTGTTTCTTCTACATAAAATTCTTTGGCTTCTGATCATAAAATTTTCCTATCTATCTTGAGGGCTAATAAAAATATACATGTAAAAAATTCAAAGACTACTACTAGGCAGCACAACATAACTTATTTCTCAGTTCTTTGTTATCGCATCTACTCTAAATGTCTAAATGAATAGTCTTGTTCAGTTATTAGTTTTATTTTATTACTTGAATTCAATTATATGCAGAGTATGGATATTTTGGAGTTGTTTCAACAAAAGTAGATGTGTATAGTTATGGAATTATGCTATTAGAGGTGTTTACAAGAAAAAGGCCCACAGAAGATATGTTTGTTGAAGGATTGAACTTGAAGAGCTGGGTAAGTGAGTCAATGCCACATGCAATAATTCAAGTCATAGATTCCAATTTATTAGAAGGAGATGAACATCATATAAAAATATATTGACATCTGCATCCTTTGTTTTTAAATTGGCCTTGAATTGTTGCACCTATCTTCCAGAAGCACGTGGCAATATGATTGATGTTGTAGTATCATTGAATAAGATCAAGGGTATGTTTTTGCATAGGCAAGCAGCATCATGTCTAAATTAGCAATAAGTTTCTTATAATTTGTGTGGTTAATTGTTCTCCATTTTTTGATTATCTACTTTTAGAACATGTTGGACCCATTATTTGTTTATATATATATGTGTGTGTGTTCTTATTTTTACCCAAATATAAAAGTATAAAGCACCTAGTTGCTTTACTTCTTTCCCCTTTCCGTAAACATTGCATATAGTTTCTCAAATTTCTTCTTCCCATAACTATTTTCTTCCTTAAAATAATAAAAAAAAAAAGCACGGGATATATAATAGCGTACAACTTTTATCACGAGTTGGAGAGTGATCATTTAAACATTATATAGTGCCAATGAAACTCTATTTCCTTGTACACTTTTGCAATATTATATTGTAATAAGCTTAAATCCAAAACCATCTGTTTATGCTATATATTCTTAGTTATTAAACAAAAAACTTTAATTTGCCATAATCTTTTATTCATCACATTACGTAGTGTCCAATAGTATATGTACTCTGTCATGATCACCCTTCTCAATCAATAAAATTAACATAGAACGCAGGGGAAGAACAGGGAAAATATCATTGTATTAGCCTCCTCAAAGATAATGAAATTAACAGCCATAATTATTCAGTCTCATAGCACATTACAACTTCAAATAAATCAACAAGCATAATAGTAAATTTCACAAAATTTTTTTGATCTCTTTCTCACTACCTTTTCCCTGCCTTGTGTTCTCATTCCCATGGCCTAAGTGATTTCCATCCATTCAAGCCCATTTGGTAAAGCTTTCGGCCCATGATATCCATTAGTCTCCTTCATGACATACTTTTGAGTATATAGGTGGATTCATGCTAAGTTAAAAAATATGAATAAAATAAAAATGGAACAGTGAAAAATGTGAATAATTATCAATAATCCTTTGTTTTTCCTACCAAGCAAAGTAAACATAATTTGTGAAGACACATCATGAAGAAACATGATATAGAAGTTTTATACATGTTTTTGACCATCCTCCACTTTGCTATTGTGAGGTGGTGAATGATGAAAGGGTGAATTGATTTGTTTGGGATGTGGCTATGTTCTCTTGTGTTTACTCTTGATTGTATTGTTCTTGTAGTTTAATTATTTGTAGTTATATCCTTCTTTATTAAAAAAAGAAAAGTTTCATACATGTGAAGTTATTTCACTCCATTTCTCACAACAAGAGCAAACAAGGTCATGCAGACAGAGATAAATAAAAACAAATAAAAGTTACAATATTGTCATGTGAAGTATAAACCCATAATAGTGGCTAGAGCACCATTATCATCCGTCCTTGAACACCACAAGATCAATTCTTGAGATTGAGATAGTGTTTGGGAGTTTTTTTGGGGAAGCTCTTGTGAAGTGATATAAAAGGAATACATGAAAAAATCCCTCCGTATCTCTCAAGCACCCATTTTTGAACGGCACAAAAAATCAAAATTCAATTAGCAATATATATATATATATATATGGGCATACATGGCACGCTAGTTACTAAAGTTAATGACACGTAGTTACCAAAGTCATGGAAAATGGAGTGAATTATTGTTTGGTAATGAAGCGTCAAGAAACAAGCTAGTTCCTTTTTCTTTTATTTTTTTAATTAGGCAAATCAATCTAGGGCTAGTTTGGTCCAGCTTTTTTTCATAAAAAGATAAAAAATCTTTTAGAAAAAATCATTTTTTATTTTTATGATACTGTTTAAGCTTTTAAAAATAATATAATCTAAAAAATAGATTTCTAATTATTTTTTAGAAATGACACTGAATAGCTTTTGAACATAATTTGATGGGTAGATGAGAGAAAATGCCATAAAAATGCAGAGATATAAAACTTTAAAATAATTAAATAAAAAAATATTTTTATAAAGCATAAATCCATAAAGATACCATAAAATCTAAAAATAACTAACTAATAATTATTTTTTATTACTGTAACGAAACATAAAATAGATTTTTTTTTGTAAAATCTCTATAAAATAGGGCCCATTTGTTTTAGCTGATTCCATGAAAATCACTTAATTTTTTGAAAAAATATATATTTTGTGAATTTTTATAATTGTTTCAACTTTTGAAAATAATCAGAATCTAAAAAAAATATTTCTGATTTTTTTTAAAGCTACTTTGAGTAACTTTTAAAATTAATCTAATGTCGTAGAGGAGAGAGAGAGAGTATTTTAAAGAGGTAGGATACATGAACACACCATAAATTTTTAAATAATATAGTAATAAATTATTTTTATGAAATAAAAATCAAGGAATATATCATAAAATTTAAAAATAACTAACTAATAATCACTTTTTATTACTGTAACCAAATATAAAATAATGTCTTCTTTTTATAAAGCCTCTACAAGATAAATTTTTTTTTATAAAACCTCTAAACTATCTAAAAATAATTATTTTTAATATTAAACAAATGGGTCCTATATCTCCTTTTCGTAAAATCTCCAAATTATATAAAAATAACTTATTTTTTAATCTTAAACAAATGGGCTCTAATTACTTGTTGAAATGTTAGCAACACATTATGCTGTACAGATAAAGTATGTGGATAAGATACGATATGTATATGATATGTTTGTACTTTTGTTTTTTAAAAAATATAGGTTTTCAATATGTATCTGATACGTACATATATATGTATAAAAAATACATAAAAAGCATTAAAAACATAGTTTCAATTAAGAAAATATCCAAACTAGTATACTTATATAGTCCTTTATAGTATGCAAATAAAATATTATTATAATTTTTCTTTTATTATGTGTTTACCTAATTGCCTACTACCTAATCTCTACTAATTGTTCTCTAAGTAGGGTTTTTCTGCCAAATGATTACATTCCTACTATAGTTGACAAAAATATAATTTTTATCTTTTTATTATATATATCTAAAAGTTATTTCATAGGAAAATCAAATATTTGAAATTAAAACAAATCAAAAAATATATTAGGAATGAAACGGATTAATATCACAATATCTAACAAGATTTAATTTCTTAAAATTAGCTTTAAAGCATTGGTTTTGAAGTATTGACTTGCAGTATAGAAATATCAAAGATATATCAAAATTTAAATTTTATTGCAATTAAAAAGTAATATTTTGACAAATTATAAACTTACAAATTATACTCCCTCCTGCCATTAATATAATAAGAAAAAGTTTAAAAGCATTTTTTTGATCTTTAATATAAGATGAAGTTAGAGTAATTAATTTTTCCAAATTTACCCATGGTTTATTTATTGTTACTTGAATTCCTAAACAAAAATTTATTATAGTTATTAATTGGAAAGAAGGGTAAAATTGGAATAACAACTAAATATTACAAATTTACAAATTATTAATATATGATTATTTTTGAGAAAATGAAAATAAAATCCCTCTATAATGTACAAATGACAAGTTGGTCCCTTAAAATGTCATAATTTTCTTGAAGTCCTTAGAAATTTTCGGTCATTAATAAATTTATATAAATGATCAAATTTTCATTTTTCAAAAAATAATTCACAATTTTTCTTCTTACATTCATAAAAATGCAAAAACAAATAAGGAATTTAACATGCAAAGTTGTGATTTGCTGCTTTATTATTGCAATATAAGAAGAAAGTTGTAAATTATTTATTTTTAATAAGGATAATTTGATAATTTATATAAATTTATTAATGACAGAAAAGTTTCTAGAGACTTCAGGGAAATTATGGCATTTTAAGGGATCAAATTATTATTTATATATTTTAGAGAGATTTTATGGTTATTTTTCCATTATTTTTTAAGTTTTCTGTGATTTCAGGATTGAAAATTATTTATGTATTTAATTTACCTAGATTATATGTGAACATGAGTATCTCTACAAGAATTTCCCTACAAAAGATATCTACACTAATTTTCATGTAGGCCCATTTATTTTAGCTTATTTTATAAAGAAAACTCACTTATTTTGTAAAAAAATTATTTTGTAAAGTTTTATGATGTTTCTTGAAACTTTTGAAAATAATCAGAATCTGAAAAAGTAAATTTCTAATTATTTTAAAAAGATACATTGAGTAGCTTCTAAAAATATTATGTGATAAATGAGGCATAATGTTTTAAAAATGTGGGATATGAGAAGATTTTATAAAATTTTAAAATAAGTAAATAATAAATTAATTTTATAAAAGAAAAATTAAAGAAGATATCATAAAATTTAAAAATAACTAAGTATTAATCACGTTTTTTATTATTGTAATCAAACATAAAATAATGTTTTTTCTGATAAAATCTCTACCAAACAAATCTCTTTTTATAAACTCTCTAAACTATTTAAAAATTACTTATTTTTTAATCTTAAACAAATGAGCCCTAAAACCATGATAGTATTAATGTGGATCCAAGCAAAGTTTCTTTACGCTTTTCATGCTTGTGTGAGAGCCTCGACCCCAAAGGACAAACACCAAGTGATCTTTCATTCATCTCAAAAAGTTCTAATTCAAAAGGCATCACATATACAAAAATAAAAATAAAATAACTTATTAACTTAATTAATTATAAAAACACGTAATAACATGGTTAATGAACTTGCAAAGCAATGGCAGATTTGCAAGTATTCTTTTCAATTTTTAATATAAGGTGAATTTTAAAAGCTTGTTTTGGTCTTTAAAAGTAGTGTGAACTAGACAATGAAGAAAAATCTCTTGTCATGGTGAGGCCACACAAGTCTATCTAAAATGACGCATGTCTATCTATTCAAACATTGATTGTCAATTTGTCAGTTTCAAAATAATTGGATAAGTTGAAATATATTTTCTTAAATTGCTTAGATTTTGTTATTATAATATCAATTGTTTATTTTGTTGACAAATGAAAACTGTAGACTGGGTGATTTTAATTTGTTTGATTTCATTCTATTTTTTGTTTTTAAAAATTATTTTTAAAACCAATTGAAAAATAATTTTGAAAAAAAAAAGGAAAATCTCTTTGATTATGTTACTTTGAAAACAATTTTAGAACTAAGAAATTGACCGATAGTAGTGGTTATAGTGATTAATAGTAGTGACTTACAATAGTAGTTTGTCATAGTTGATAATAGTTTACAACAGTCAAATGCAAAGAGCTTTAAAAGCTTGAGTTTTACTATAGGTCATTACAATTTTTTCAATGTTCCAAGTTCCTATACTTTTGTTTTTCAGTGTTCTGGATTTCCCAATGAGTAGTGTTATAGGTGTAACATCTCCAATTTCAACTTGTGAGTTTTTAAGTGTTAAAAAGAGTAAATTGATAAAATTGAGTGATTAATGATCTTTTTAGATACTAATGAGGTATTGAATCATTGAATAACCTTAGAAGAAGGTTACATGAGAGTTCATGAGGACTGGGCATCAACTGAGACCCAAAATTTCAATTTAGCCTCACTATGTTGTCTGCCATAGCAAACGCACCATGCATTGTGATAAATGTATAAAAATCTAAATATATTAGATTGCACGCACGTGAGAAACAGAGGAGAAAACAGAAACAATGTGAGTGAGATAATGGAGGAAGGTTTATGGGCTACTAAGGCTTCACTGTTTGAGCTCTTGAGTAGCAATTAACAACACCATTGGATAAGTGTTCTTTCCTCTTCTCTTCCTCTATATTCAAATTTTGAGGTTGTTGGCTAGGTTATGTTTTTCATCCTCTCTTAGGTTGTAACCAAATCCATTGACTTAGTTAGGGCCTTGGGGAGCTAAATTAAATTTCTAAACCTTGATTTAAGAATTTTGTAATAATTTGAAATTTTGAACTAGGGTTTGAATGAACCCTAAGTGAGAATTTGAGTTTTTGACACAATCACTAGAAAAAAAAAAAAGAGACTTGATTTAGAGACGGATTACAATGTGTCTCTAATAGAAACAAAATTAGAGACATGTAACAGATATTTTAGCTATTTGTTTAACTTTTTTTGTAAAAATAATTTAAAAATTATAAACACAAATTTAGAGATGGATAAAGTGGTATCTAAAATCACTGTCTCTAATGCTGTGGCTAAATATTAATAGGAACAATTTTTGAGACAACTTGATTTTGTCTCTAATCATTTAAGTTATTTTTTTTTTATACCCATCTCTAAATCAGCTTCTAAAAATACTATCAAGACTCTTTTAGAGACAACAAGAAAATCCGCACCTAAATATTAGCAAATTTATCTCTAAAATTTTAAGAAATATTTTTATAAGAATTATAAAATTTTTAGTTTTATATGACCCACGTTTTAAGAAGAAAATTAGAGTGAGGGGGAACAACAAGGATTTAGACACATACCTTTGGTTTTTAAAACTCCCCATTTCCTTTCATTTTAGACATTTTTTAATCAATTTGTAGTTTACAATATTTTTCTTTGAAGTAATATATATATTTATTATTTTTCTGACCTTTTAAATTTGGTCAAATATTTATATTTATTTAAAATTTTCCTATCAATAATATAATATATTTAAATTTAAATAATAAAAAAATGATTTCATGATTATGAATAATAAAACGTATTTAGAAATCATTATGAATGAATTCATAAAATAAATTAATGCTAACTGTTTTCATTATTTATAATAAAAAATTACTTTTTTGATATAAAAATTATTTTTATTTATAATTACAAATTAATCTTTTTAATTTTCTATTATATGAAAATAAATAAAAATGATGCTCATATCTCTTAAATAGTTAAATAAAATACTAAATAAATAACAAATAAATCATTTTAACTAATTAAAAATCATAAAAATTCTGAAAAAAAAACAAAGACGAGAAAAAGGGTATTTGTAGGGTTATGGCTGAAAGAAAACAAAGCAAAGGGGTCCGGATCCTCTCCTAATCCTTGTTCTCCTTTTCTCCTCCTTATCTCATCTCCACCATTAAATTATAAAGTGAATGGTTCATATTTAATTATTTTTCCCAAACAAATTTATTTTTTTATAAAATAATTATCATATGAAAATAAATAAATTTAAACTGTTAAAATTTGATCTGCACAGTTGTCAATTGCATATCGTTATTACATTAATAATTGCTATAAATTAAAATGTTTATTTATTTATTTTATTGCAATTATATTTTGTGCAGGTTAAATTTTAATAGTTTAAAATTATTTGTTTTGGTTCAATAGGTTCAGGAACTTGAATAAACTTATCCTGTGATCTCAAATTCGAGTTTTAGGATATGCACGCATGTTAAATAAATATAGCAAAAGCATTCTTGAAATATCCGTAATAGTCTCGCAGCTGAGGTTCAGACATTCCTTATTGATCTAAGGATGGGGATGGGGTGCGTAAAGAAGAAGAAGATGATGATGCTGAAGGATGCGGAGCGACGCGCAGGGGGAACGCCGCGGAGAGGATCTGCTTCCAAAGCAAAGAGGGTTGCCGCTTAAGAGAATATGGATAAGACCAAGGGTTGAATAGAAAAGCAACGGCGAGCTTCCATGGATAAGACGGCAACAATCTCATTGATTGTGGAGGGATCAATTTCATATGCCAAAATATCTGTCTCTGTGTCTCTCTCTCCGTTGGGAGTGAATAAAACTTCCATGGTTTCGATGGATTAGTAATCTCGTGCAAGATGTTAGATGAGATCTTCCATCATGAGAATGGGCACTATAACCTCGCGCAACACTGTATTGTTCGTAATCCCGCTTCACGAGTATCGCAACCCCCTCCAGTCACCAGTTCGAAATAGCGAATGTCTTTCCTTGCACACACCTCCATCTGGATTCAAAGTAATGGAACAGGTTTTGTTGTTATCGTGTGGCTGGATATTTTTCATGCTGTTAAATTAAACTACATGTATTTTGCTTGGTGTGATGTTCATTAAAATTGACTGTCTCGTTTTCTTTTAAAGCATGCTTATAAAGTGTTTGACAAAATGCTTGGGAGAAATTTAAAAAAAAAAAAAACTGTTGGATTTTGTGCACATATGCACTTAGTTACTAGTTCAAGAAATTTGGGCTGTTTTGGTTTGCGTTGATCTTTTTAAGACTTTTCGGGAGTACATTAAAGTGAATCATTTGGAGGTAAGTATTATGCCTGTAACAGACTAACATATCTCTCCTGGAAACAGTCACGTCTCTAAACTTTTAAAGTTATTATTTAAACCAACAGTTTTTTTTTAATTTTTCCCCTTAAATACATTTCACCCTATTATTTGTAGGATCCTTTAAATTCAATGGTTCACCACTATGTTTGCCAATATAAATCTAATTATATTTTGAAAATTAAAAAATTTCTTGATTTGAGGTTTAAGGGATGCATGATACAGTTTATATCCCATGCTAGTTCACATCTCTTTTCAAAAACAAAAAAACAAAATTGGTAACACTTATTTTGCAGACTTTGTGCAATTTCTAAAGAAACGTTATTCATTAAAACATTTTATTTAAATTTTATGACAAAACAAAAATATACAGTTATATTTATTAAATTGTTTATTTAAGAATTAAAAAATTTAAATATATTATTTGATCTATATCTATGTATTTTAATGTACACAAGAGATGGGACGATTGGTTGTAAGAGGGAAGAGGGAGCTATTGTGAAGAGGAGAGGGGGGTTAGGCCTCAGGGGTATGTGGTATTTCTGGCCCCTGCTCTGACACACTTTTTTTAATTCATTAATGATATAGAAATTGGTTTAATTCAAGCCAAGTTTTCACTGTTCATGTGGAGAGAAAAAATTTGTAGTATCCTGATAAATATTAATAGTATCCTGATAAATATTTTTCAACTTGTAGTATCTTGGTAAATGATTTTTCTTCTTATAGTATGGTGGTCAATTTGCTGAGCAAAATGGAGCTCCGTTTGAAACCCTCCTTCCTTTGTTCCCTTCTCCATTTTCAATTTGTAGCAGGCATAGGTGTGTGTGTTGGTCAGGATCTACCTTGCTTCGCCATCATTCTCCATTTTGCCCTGCGTCGTTGGATTCTCTTCTTCTCTTTGGTCACTCAGTTTTTTATCTAGTTCAAGGAAGCTTGAGATCTTTCTCTTTATTCCGTGCTCCACCTCATCGGCCGCTTCTTCTCTCCTTTTCCATTTTTGGCATCATCAAGTTCACTTTTTTTTGTCTCCTTGCTCTGTTGTGATTGGTTTGATGTGAGGAGTTTTGAATTCTCCTCATCTTTGTTAGTTGGGTGCAAGTATATATTTAAGTGCTGAGATTGTAATTTTCTCCTTGTCCTTTGTTCTGTTGCCGTGTGTGTGTTTGAGTTAGGAGGGGAGTGAAATTAAGTTGAAATTTTTATTATAAAGGGCAAGATAAACATAGTGTGGGTTTAAGTTTTTCTTGAGCTTGAATTGATTCTTGATGGGAAATTTGATTAGGAAGCATACTGGATTTAATTATAGCTGTTTGGAATTCATTTGGCAAGAGATTGAGGATTAAGAAGAGTTATTGAATGGTTTGAAAATTATGCATACAAGGTGTTTGATATAAGATACAATGGGAAGTAATATCCCAATGGAATGATTAGCTAAAGTACTATGGAGAAATTTTGATATAAATGATGATGTCCTTGGGAGAACTTTGGATCATATAGATTGATTATGCTTGAGAGGTACTCGTTCTTCCTTTTATAGTTAACCATGAACTAAGAGAGCTTCTTGGGGGGAAAAACCAGATAGAGAGAGAGAGGGAGTTCACCAAAGCCTTATGACATATTTATCTTTGTTTATCAGACAAACAATATGCCAATATACTAAAGGCATTTTAATACTATTTCGATTCAATATTCGCTATGATACGTGCACTTGGGCGTATATGTTTCAAATCATATAATACAGCCTATGAAGATCTATTTATACTGTTTCGCTGTCATGTTCATCTGATTATTCTCTAACATAAATAAATTTGCAATAGCTAATATAAATCTCTCTAGCGAAGACATTTGGCACTGGATATGATTATTAGTATTTAGAATCAAGTTTTGGAACACGAAAAGAGGCCAAGGAAAATCAATTCCTTGAAGGTTCTATGCTGATGTGTATGCCCATCTCACATGTGTTTGGACGTAAGGGAATCAGCAGAAAACTTAGGCATTGTTTTTAAACACTTATCCTGTATGTTAGTTCTTTTCAAGAACCACTATCAGTATTTCTTTATCTGTCCGTCTTTGGCTTTTATCCTTCAAGTTAGTTCTTCATTTTTTAATAGATTATAAATATTTAAACATTTGTACTTTGAAGTCCATAGAATCAGATCAATTGTCAGAACTATGGATAGCACAAATATCTTGAATTTAACGCTTAACTAGTGGACATCTACTAGAATTTTGGAAGCTGCGTACTCCCCTACTTCAATGATCCAGATAAGGTTCTCAACAATAATTGATCCATAACTTGTACCTTAATTTTTAAAGCATGTTTAGTTTTTCAATAGAAGCATAGATTCTTAAATAAAATTAACAAATGACACCATTGCTTCATAAATTGAAATAAACCACAACTGTTTACTAAGTTTAACAATTGTCTATCATCATAGCGGACCAGATTTATATGTTAAATGAATGGTTAAAGATATGCTTGTGATAAAGAATTGTAAGAGAATATAAGTTCAAGCATTTGAGCCTTCAAAACAGAACCAAATGAGCAGTAAAACATATGTCTGCACTTGATGGCCCTAAATGTTGAGTTTGAAGCTAAGCTAAAATTTGGCATGCATTTAGAAGGAATATAGAAGTTATATTTACCCAAAGATGGTAATTTTTAAAGCTCCACAGAATATTTTATGAATTTTTGAATTCAGTTTTAAATGATGTTATGTAACAGCTTTACATCTTTTATATCAGATCTGTTCGTTTATTTCTTTTCCAGACTTAATAGACTTCAGTTACTTTGAAACTTTGATAGTGGATAGTAAATGAATATATCTTTTTAGAAAGTGGCAACAAACATTGCTTCATTTTAGCCGTAAGATTCTATATGAACACTGTTAATATTCCTCCAGACAAAGCTAGCTCACTCGTAAAGGATCAACGGAAACAACGTATGAGGATCAATCAATAATGAAACAATCCATGCATCTCACTCGGCTCAAAGCCAACATTGTTGTCATAAATGAGTGAAATCGCAAAAACAGACCAAAACTTTGTGCACGCTGAAGTAGTACAAAAAATCAAGTTTGCTTGCAAGTGTACAACAAAGGAATTGCTTAATTCTGAATAGACAGGAAAAAAAATAGAAAGGAACTCTAACCTGAGGAGGAGCCTGAAAAGTCAAAACTAAGTTTCTTTTTCCATATAAAGCTTAGCCAAGCCAAAAGGGCCGGTTTCTTAGAGCCCTAGTGCTTGCTATTCATGCGTGAAGCTCATAAGCGAAGGCATGAGAGACCAATAACAATGATATTAACGTCACCTTCGTGTCCTCGTTGCTGCCTCCCCTGCCATTGTCGCCCTTTTTCTTAATTGTCATCTCGCAGCTATTACCGTTGCTTCTCCATCGTCGCTAGGCTCGTTATATCTATCCACCGCCCACAAACTTCCAAAATAAGAACAGGAAAGCCCAGTGTTGATTTCTCCTCTGAAACTAGAAAGCAAAATGTAATTTCCCATCCGCTGCAGCTCACGGTACACCGTTCGTGATCATGAAACCAAATGCAGAGTGCCACGCCCAAAAATTTAATGTAATCGGTACAGGATATAGGCAGAAATACCCATTCCTAAAGTCTCAATTAAGGAAAGTTCTAAATTGATACATCTGACACACTATCAGCTCGATTATATGTATCTAATTTTGCTTTTCACATACATCAAAATATTAAACTTTTTGTAAAAATTTCAAAAGCACCTACCCTGTAAGTAAGATCTCCTAAAATCTTTACAACAGAAATTTTATCATATATACCCAATACTATGGAGCTCTACTCAAAACCAAATAGACAACATAATAAAAGACAATTAGGACCCTAATTATAGTCAATGTAGAGCATCCTATACCTTGTTTGTTTCCAAGACATAATACATAAATTTTAGAATTTACATAAAAAGGAAGATATTATTACAAACTAATCTTCTAGTCAATTCAACGATGAGTCAGTTAGAGGTCAGCAGGAGGTACTATGTCAACTATATGAGACCAAACAAAATATTTTTCAGTGAATAACGTCCCAACCATAATATTTAAAAGCATAAAAATGAATAATTTTGCAACTGCTATGGAAATTACAGAAAAAAAAAAGATTCAATATAATAAAATTTATAAACTTGAAATAAAAATTTCTATACAACTTCAATAGCATGAACCTTTAGATCTTCATAACAAAGTAACCTTAATATATAAGCTTGACAAAACAAATAGAGTAAATAAATAAATAAATAACATTTACTTTTTAAAAAAATCGTTTAAATATGAAATCATCAATTAATTAAAAATTTGTATTTCTGATGATTTATCAGAACAA